CGACCCCCCAAAAATATATTGGGGGAAAAAAAAATCCGAAAAATCATGCTGAAATTCTAGTGTATTTTCTCTAGATGTAAGGAAAAGCCAGCAAACAGTTCGATTTCTACCTTAAAACCACTTGTAAAACGCATTTTCCGCGCTGCGCGGCCACTTGAAATCTGAAATCACACGAACACCGTCTTCTACATGTAGGTATTACCGCGAGTTGTAAGCTCTGATTGGTTCACCCCCGAAAACCTGCGCTCTGATTGGTTTATCAGCTGTGCATTACGTATTACTAGGAATATGGCACGAGTTTCTCACGCTGTGAGAGTTTGTTCTGCTGACCCCTTCGTAACGATATCGGTAAAAATGAAATCCAGCTCTTCTGAAGACAACATGCAGTTTATTTTCGCGGCACACCGTGCCCTTCCCAACAGCACAACAGTATTTTTCACGTGTGTAGAATCGTGTATATGTATGCATCGATATTCCCGGCCCGCTCAGGTCCCGCACCGCGCCGCTCGAATTTTCCGGAGCCGATGAGAGTAAACCATACAAGGTAATTTTAACCAAGGACTGGCTCAACATTTTTTGTCCGATCTCAGAATGTCCTACTAAGAACTTGATCTTCTGTAATGTCCTTGGTTGAGGCGAACTGAGATTGACGAATAGACGAAATGTGTACCCAGCAAAACATCAAAAATGCGTTCCCAAAATACAGTAAATGGCGTTTCCAGAGGGTCGAGATTTTAAGATTTTCCCGGAGAGCAAGCCCCGATCCCCCTTGTGTATTGTGGAAGAAGTTCGTGGACGTCATGCAGTCGAATAGCGAGTAAGAAACTTAGCTACAAAGTACTAGAAATTTAGCTTCATGTAGCAGCAAAAATTTTCCCCCGCACGGTTTACAGATACTAAAATATTCAGTTACGACAAACATGTTAAACTTGTATGTCCCAGAAAGATACAGGAAATGTTTTGTATTTCTGTTTCAAAACTTAAGTCAAATTTGAAACCTTGAGTAAATCAATCAGGTATATTTTTAATTTTTTTCTACGCACAATTTAAAGCAAGACGGAAAAGACGCCGCGTAAATTATCGAGAGCCTGTGCCTAGAACTCTGTTTCCTTTCAACGCCTGACATGAATTGTAGCAGACCTCGGTGCACGCAAATATAAAAATTTTTATGTTTTCATGGCTTACCAACAAACATATGACGTGTTTAATCCTCCTCTCCGCACACTTTCAGTGTACGGTGGGCAGACTTTCCCTCTTTAGCTTATATGTTCCCAAAAGTTATATGAAAGGTAGCGTTTATTCAACAAATATACGACGCGTTTAATCTTTCTCTACGCACACTTTAAGCGAACGGAGGGAGAACCTCTATGGCATCATTTTTGTGTCAAAAATACGGACGTTAAAAGCGTCACGTTTTGGGGTCAATGCGTCACGTCTTTTGCGTCAATACGTCACGTATGACATAACGTGTGGGTAAGTAACGTACATGTGATTCTGCATTTTCCGTGTAAAACTACGGACGTAAAAAATCGTCACGGCTTTTAGTCAATACGTCACGTACGTATCATACGTACGTGACGTACTGATACGTTATGTATCCTAATTTTCGTGTCAAAATAACATACGGTTAGGTTATATCAAAGGTTATGTCCACGTAACGTTAACTTTAACGTAACGTTGGTTAACGTTAACGTAGTTATCACGTTATGTTTACGTCATGTTAACGTTATGTTAACAATATGTTAACGTTATGTTAACGATATGTTAACTTTAACGTAACGTTATCGTAACGTATGTACTTGCAAACTTTGTCGAAAGGCTGATTAAAAAAGCAGGTGTGTTTGAAACACCTTTATATCTATGGCATCATTTTTGTGTCAAAAATACAGACGTTAAAAACGCTACGTTTTGGAGTCAATACGTAACGTTTTTTGGTCAATACGTTACATATGCTAGGTGAACGTTCACGTATGACATAACGTGTGGATACGTTACGTACGCATGGTTCTGAAATTTCCGTGTCAAAATTACGGACGTAAAAAACGTCACGTTTTTAGTGAATACGTCACGTACGTTTCATCTATATGTTAACGTAACGTTGGTTAAGTTATGGTAAAGTAACGTAGGTTATGTTATGTTAACGTAACGTAGGTTATGTTATGGTAAAGTAACGTAGGTTATGTTATGTTAACGTAACGTAGGTTATGTTATGTTAACATAACGTAGGTTATGTTATGGTAACGTAACGTAGGTTATGTTATTGTAACGTAACGTAGGTTATGTTATTGTAACGTAACGTAGGTTATGTTATGGTAACGTAACGTAGGTTATGTTATGGTAACGTAACGTAGGTTACGTTACGTTATCGCAAAGTATAAACATCGCATAACGCATCAAAACGCACCACGTTACGTACGTATGTAACATTATGTTAGATATGTTCAGTTACATATAATATGTTCCGACGTCACATAGACTCCTAAGAGTGTACGTGCTGTTCGCTGAATTTTGGTAACAAATTAATCACCCCTATCCATTGCTTATGGTTCCGTCCATTTCAACAGTCAAGTAGACGTGTTCTTGCGACGTCATCAATTCGTGTTGTGTGGTTTGGAATGAATGTAAAGGCCGCATAACACAATATTAATGAGCGACTCCAGGATACAAAGTAGTACGGACAAAATTTTCATAGGCTGGTTAAAACAACTTTAGACTAGAACTATAGTTTTCTTCAGTTATTTCACAGATTTTCCCCTAAACTTAAACATATTAAATTTCTTTTTCTTTCCACCGCTTCGAATTGAGTCACATTGCTATATAATACTAAGGGGTTCTTTAAAAATTTTGTATGAACGTAAAGTGATGTCGTCATCAGCTTATGTTGTACATCATTTGGCATGAACGTAAAGTGATGTCGTCATCAGTTTACGTTGTACATCGTTTGGCATGAACGTAAAGTGTTGTCGTCATCAGTTTACGTTGTACATCGTTTGGCATGAACGTAAAGTGTTGTCGTCATCATTTTACGTTGTACATCGTTTGGCATGAACGTAAAGTGTTGTCGTCATCAGTTTACGTTGTGGATGGCCGGCATGTCATGTGATATTATTGTCAGTGGGGCATCTGAGTAACAGTTACCTAACTGGTACAACTCTTGTATTTCCTGTAAGTTCTTTACATTACGCAGTAAGTCCACTAAGCCTGTAATATCGTAGAACAATATATTTAGGAAGAGAAAGTTTCTCAATGCGTACAAATTGTGAACTTTTCTACCCTACAAGCTAATAAGGCCACAGCAAGTAAATTTTATGGATGACATCCTCTGCAGACTCCAAATCTAATGCGAGCGGGCGAAAAAAAAACAAGACGGGCCAAAAATAACAAGGTTCCTACATTATAAAATTTTGACTCAATCATTGTACGAATGTCTTTTATTCGGTGGGAACATCACATATACACAGCCATCATCACATATCATTGCATCAAAGTAAGAAACAAAACATTAAATCAGAGCCTTTTCTTGTCTCCCCTCGTCATAGTTATCTGCCATCCACCTTCCGGCATGGCAACAGACATCTTTGCCCATTTTCGGCATGTTGACCACTGTCAGAAGGCAAAAAAATTTCTTTTTTTTTTCCAAAATCAGGCGAAAATTAATGCGCGCGCGGATGTCATCCATAAAAATTACTTGCTGTGGTCTAATTTTTCGTCATATTTAAACAGGGTGACCCACTCAGTGATGGCATTGCTTTTCAGTGGGGACCTGTAAAATCCATACAAAAATCCATACCACCTGTACAAAAAATCTACTTCCGACTTAAGGCCTTTAGATAGAACGATATGTGGACTAACGTGGTCCTGGTGGCAGTGTGGGCTCCTGTAGCTCTTGTTGTGGGGTGTTTTCTGTGAAGGCGAAGGAACCGGGCCAAGTCCCGTATCTGAAAAACAACAATAACATGTTTTACTGTAGCATAGGAATAAATACGTACATGTAAAATTGTAAATACAACAGTATCGAGTGGTCGTGTCACGAAATGGCAGGGTGTTTGGCTCAGAATGTAGAGGTCCTCGGTCCTCGGTTCTAATTCTGCCATGTCACCGATCTTGTGTCCTTGGGAAAGTCACTTTGCACGACTTTCCTCACTTCACCTAGGTGTGAATTGGTATCTGACTTCGGTTGGGGAGGTATAAGCAGAGGCATGGGCTTCCAATACTGTGCCCTAGCCTAGACATTATTGTCCCTACAAGACTATAAGAATACATTACCAACCTACCTAAATACGAAAGTAGATCTGTTAAATGGGTTTCTTACATGACTGTCTGGACTCCGTTCTGGTTTGAAGCGGAGTACGAGGCCTGTCCAGGCTGCTTGTACACTGTCACCACCCCGCCGGCGTCGGTGATCCTACCGTCATGGATAGCAGCACGACAGATACTCGAGTCCTGCCAAACAACACTCGAAATAAGTCCTATTTCCTGGGTTGAGCAATGTATTTTCAAGTGTAGGAAAGCACGGTGCCCTGTTGCATATTAATTGCCTTCGTCAGATGGGTGTGTTTTCTGTTTGGGCCTGGTAGAGTAGCTGTGGTGTGAGTCTGTATGCAGGTCAACGTCATAACTCAAGTACATCATCATTATCATCACATTGCTCAAGTACATGTAGTTGTAGATGGATCTTTTTATATTTGGTGTGTAGATAGCTGTTGTAGAAATGCAGGTCGAGTTAAAAAATGGTCCATTTGGTTTTTTTCCAACGGTACTGCAGCTGGCTTTTTATGCACTTTTTGATTGCAGATTGAACTCGCTGCCACCATGTACAGTAGTGGCATCATCATTAGCTTTGAACAGAGTCCTTGCTTTGAACGACGCTTACAGTTAGATAAAGGTTAGGTCTAGCAGGTCTAGCAGGTCTTTCTGTGTTTCCGTGTTAAACCAACTATACAGATGCAGATATACACTCATGTAGGCATAGAACACTACTCACGTCTGTGTAGACGGCTGTCCCCCAGACGGTCCTACCAGCAGCAGCACATCCGGCCGGACAACTGGCACTGGAGAACAGGACACGGTGTACTATACCGTCTGATATTATTATAGACGATCTGAAGAGATTGTACTAGTAACGGCGAGCAGATTATTATTGGAATGAGCAGAGCACTTTGGACTAATGTCTCTGGCTGTTTAGAGTTTAGAGGTACATATCCTATATTTTGTCAAAAACATCTCTGTTACATAGCGGATCATAATGACCCCCCAGCGGGGGTCTTCGAGCTTCGTTAAAATGGAAAAATCTCAAGATTTATTCCAAAGATCTTAATATTTTAGACGAAATCTTGAGATCTCATGAGGCAATCTTGAGATTTTTCATGACAATCTCAAGATCTTTCAGAAAATCTTAAGATGAAAACGAAAGGTCTCAAGATCTTTCCAAGAGTTTTCAAACTATCTTGAGATTTTTTCATAGCATCTCGAGATTGCTTTATAAATCATGAGATCTTTAAAAAAATCTTGATATTTTTTAAAGCATCTCGAGATGCTATGGAAAAATCTCAATATGGTTTTAAAATATTTCGGAAGATCTTGAGACCTTTCATTTTCATCTTAAGATTTTCTGAAAGATCTTGAGATTGTCTCATAAGATCTCAAGATTTCGTCTAAAATATTAAGATCTTTGGAATAAATCTTGAGATTTTTCAATTTTTAACGAAGCGTGATGACCCCCGCTGGGGGTCATTATGATCCGCTATGTAACAGAGAAGTTTTTGACAAAATATAGGATATGTACCTCTAAACTGTAAACAGCCAGAGACATTAGTCCAAAGTGCTCTGCTCATTCCAATAATAATCTGCTCGCTGTTTAGTACATCTTAGTTTAAAATTGGAATTGAAGTTAGTATCCTGACAGTGTATACTTACGTGAATGACTCTCCGGCCTCCACGTGTCGGTATTGGGTATTGCAGTCCACCGAGTCTGGATGGAAAGGGATATAGTTTTAGTTATCTTGCCTCTTGGTAATACAGTCTCTACTCTGTTGGCTAACTGAACGAGAACAAAGAAAAACACATGAGAGGTGCGAGGTGAGAGAAAGTGTGGGGTTGTGTGGCGTAGCGGCAGAGTGCTCGACTCGGAACCAAGAGGTCCCGGGTTCGAGTCTTGACATGCCACAGATTTCGTGCCCTTGGGAAAGTCACTTCACACGACTTTCCTCACTTCACTCAAGGGAGAATGAGTATCATCCTGTGCTGTAGTAGAATTATTTTAGGAGGGGACAGAGGTAGTTTCAGTGAGAGCAAAATGTTTTCGCTGAATACAGACGAGGCATTGGCCGCAGAACAACACACGGTAGGTGGACAAGAGTGCCCGGTTGCTGACTAACAGCCGATATATATAAATAACGTTTTCCACGGTATTTGCTGCATGCATCACAGCAGCATACAAGCTCGGGAAAAAACGAAATGGGAAATAAAAACTCACGAGGGACTCACGAGGGAGGGCGCAACTTATAAAGGGAATTGTTTTTACAAGTAGAAAAATAAGCACGCAAACACGGACATAAACAATAATGATAGGTTATGAACAACTGGAAGAATAACAGAACGTCCTTAATCAACTTGAAAGTGCATGCAATGTCACAAATTCAGTTTCACGTGTAAAACAAGGAGTCTTTATAAAGCAGACATCAACTCAGTTTTCTGCTTTTAGACTTCCCCCGCTGAGTTCTATCTGGAACGGTCCATTGCAGCAAACGAACGGCTCAGCTGTGTTCAGCCGACAACATTACAACGACCTACTTTTAGTATTCTAGCTTCTAATAAAAGTGCCAAAACCTCTTATACTTACTCGACCGAACTTTCCGTCCGATAAACAATATCGTTATCCAGAAATTATACTTGAGGTTAGCTAGACTTGCCTGTCCCTGTATGTGTATATGGTACCGTGACCATCATCCATTTTTATGGCTACACCACTAGTGGTGTAGTCATATTGTCTTTCCTCGGGTTTCTTCTTCTGCGTCGTCGTCGTCTGCCATTTCTTTTAAATGGATTCAATTTCTTCATTTTGGGGCTAAATAACCTAAAATTTGGTATGGAAGTACAGTGGGCAAATACTCCCAGGCGTTTTTTTTTTTTTTTCATTT